TTTGTTTGTTTATTGATTCGATTTATATGCCGCCCTTCTCCGGAGACTCAGGCAGCTTACAATGCATTAAGCAATAGCCTTCATACTTTTGTATATACTTGCTTAGTAAGGCTTTCGGCCCCCTCTAAGTGGTGTTCTTTTTTATACAAAGTCAGCTTATTGCCCCCACAATCCGGGTCCTCATTTTACCTACCTCGGAAGGAAGACTGAGTCGATCTTGAGCCTGGTGAGATTTGAACTTGCAGTAATTACAGGCAGCTGGTGTTACTTAACAGCGCTTTAGTCTGCTGCGCCACCAAGGCTCTTGTTGCACTGCTATTCTAGGCAGAGACTTATTTTTGCCAGGGAAACTCTGGGAAGAGGCAATGGCTGGCAAATAAGATGGACATAAATAGGTCTGGCTGCCACAATCCTAGAATTTTAATACAGAACAATATATAGACTGGCAAAATTGTGTTGGGTAGCTCAGTGTTTCATGCCTCTGAAGGTTTGTTAGTTTGTAGAGTCAAGAGAAGATTGCTGAAGAGTCTTGTTGGGTGTGATTTTTGTATTTATTTACTTTTAAAGTTCTATGCCATATCTTAACAAGGCAACTCTTGTTACGATTATACAATGCGGAGGTGGATGCTGAAAATGTAAACAGCAGACACATTGCTGGAAACAGTCTCCCAAATCATTCTATTTCTGTCTTTATTTCTAATCTAGGAGTGGCACATCTGTCTCTAGTCTCTCCCTCCTTCCTTCCCTCGCTCTCTCTCTTTCTCCCACCATTGCAATGCAAGCCTTTCTAAGCATGCATCATGGCACACAACTCCAAAAGGAACAGAGCTTGTGTCACAAGAGCACAATATTGTTTTGATCATTTCACACAAGTAGCCAGTTGCAAACATCCACGGTCCCAAAGCTTTACGGTGTCACGTTTTACAAGGTAACCCTTATCATATAGCAACTCAGAATCTTCAAATATTTACCGAGTTACTCCCTAAATTATAAGAGGCCATTTGGCCAGGTAACAAAAGAACTAATCGTAATCTTTCAAGCTTTGTTTCTCTTCGTCTCAAATGAAATGTACACATGAATTCAAAATGTCCAAAGAGAAACATTCATCTGGAAAATAAATGTCAGTTTTCAATAGCTGTTTATTTGATGGAAAGTGGGTTGCAAGGAAGATTACTTTAAAACCTTTTTAAAACACTTTAAAACAAATTAGAAATGATGGTGAAAATTAAAAAAAAATTCAGAAGGTTTATTCTGCTATCCTCCTTTCCTGTTATTGCAATCCTGCACATTGGACAATAAAGAATATTAAAAAAAATAAAAGCTAAGGACACTGGTGGCACAGTGGTTAGAATGCAGTATTGCAGGCTAACTCTTCCAACACAGACAGGAGTTCAACCCTGAGCGGCTCACGGTTGACTCAGCTTTCCATCATTCTGAGATTGGTAAAATGAGGACCCAGATTTGGGGTGGGGGGGAATACAGTGACTCTGTAAATCGCTCAGAGAGTGCTGTAAAGCACTAGGAAGCAGTATATAACAGTGGTGAAATTCACTTATCTTCGCTACCGGTTCGCAAATGTGAGCTCATGCGTGCCTCCTCCATGCATGTGCAAAGACTTCTGCACATGCGCAGAGGGCCAAAAATGGGATGTAATGACGTCCGGTCAGGTGGGTGGAGCCTTCCGCTGCCGGCGCTACCAGTTCGCCCAAGCCGGATAGAACCACCTGAATTTCACCACTGATATATAAGTCTAAGTGCTATGGCTAAGGAATAAGCTAAATTTGAAATTTTCTGCCACCCATTTCCAAAATTTGTCAAAATTATGAACTCTCTTCCTAAAGAATTCGCTCAAGGGAATATTTTCTATTGTCTTTTGTACATGTTCAAAAACAGTAGTTATTTTTCACTCATCAAATCTTTTTTGTGCTTGTGTGATTCTCAAGAATTTGTGTCAAATGATACAGATTTGGTGGTTGTTTATCAGAGACTGAAATGAATATTCCATCAAGAGTGTCAGGCTTTTTGAAATATGGAAAGACAATGATTTCTTTTTCTCCCCAGCCACATGCATAAAAATGTAAGTCGGTTACTGCAGCATGTGTCACCCCATTTCCATTCCTCAAATCAAGCAAAATCAACTTTCCTTTTCCTCATTCAGCCTAACTAATTCAAATTATATTATTCTGCAAATCAGGGACAAAAGGAATGACAAACTTCCAAAAGTGAGAAGAAATTATAATGACTTTTTAATTCTTCTTTACCACTCAAACCTTTAAAAACAGTTCATTTTCTCCTGCTCCAATCTCATTTCCAGTTGAGTAGTAACTGATGGAAAAAATCTAGCATGGAAAATTAGGACGGTCTTTTCCCAGAGGGAACAAGGAATTATGGGAAACTCTACCAGCTGAATTTGTGATTCATTAGACCTGCAATGGTGGAATAATTCTATTAATAGTATAGCAGCTACATGCAAGTTATTACCACTAGAGGGAGCATTTAGATCACCAATAATGTCCACATTTACCTTGGCATTGTTTTTGCCTAATATTCAGAATCCCCAACTCCTTTTTGTTTTAAAGACCAGAAATCAATTTTCATGTGAATAAAACTTGGTTTCAGAATAAGATTTCATATTCTTGGATCTACATTTCCAAAATGTACATGCTGCTGCTCCATGGCCGTAATATTGAGATTGTATTGACTTAATTCCAAGTATCGCTGAGAAACACCTACATAATGGGCCTGCCAGTGGCTTCCTGAAGATCTCATGCAACATGACCCTTAATAAAGAGATCCTGATAACCTTCTGTTGATTTCAGCTGTGCAAATTAAATCCTGTTCTCACTGCTGCACTGGGGGAGCACCAGCCATTCACAATTTAAATCTGATCTTCGTAGCAAAAGGGAAAGACTGCTGTGCAAAACTTCACCCATCCCTAAAGCAAGTGGATTAAATTAATGTTTTTTGGTCCTAATACTTATTATGCATCAATGCCTTCTTCCAGATTTTTAGCTTATCTAGTCTACCGTCCTAGATATTTCTGATAGCCCCAAAGAACGAAGTGCCATTCACCTCTTAAGATCAGTCAAAGTTCAGCTAGGTATGGTCACCTATTATGACACATTCATACTAGAACCAGTTTAAATGCTTAAGGAACAAATGCCAAGATGGCTTAATGCTTAAGTAAGTAACAAAAAAACAAGGTCCATTTTTACTTTCAAACTTTCATAGGCACATAATTTAATTTTGCTCTAGAATTTTTATCAGTATGGAATAACTTATTCCATGGCTCCAAGATTTTCCAGATTTGTGAGAATGTCCAAGACAGTGGTGGCGAACATATGGCAAGCATGCCAGAGGTGGCACACAGAGCCCTCTCTGTGGGCATGTGAACCATCACCCCAGCTGTTTCGGGCCTCTGCCATGCGTGCCTCCCGCTGGCCAGCTGGTCTTCGGGTCTCTGCCACACATGCGTGGGGCGCCAGCATATGCACAGGTGTGCATGCACCTGTGCCTTGCAGTTTGGGCACACACACGCACTTTGGGCACTCAGTGCCTAAAAGGTTCACCATCACTGGTCTAAGAGCTAAGGGATCCAGTCATCTTATAGCATTTGCAAGGATGCTTGAACATCACTATTAATGTATATATCGTTTTGCCCATCTCGTTTTTTTGCAGCAGTCAGCGTGAAGTTTGAGACAAGAAAATGTAAATTAATAATTGATATTATTTTGTTAACAGAAGTGATGAGTAGGGGGAAATGGACATAGGATGGATACAGAGAAAGCAAGCAGCTCACACCTAATACCTCACTTTTTTTTTACAGCAGGTAGTGGGACTGACATAAAAAGACTTTGGCCCTCATTTACAGTGGGTAACATGTAGCCCTCCATCCCCTTTCTGAAACCTTTGATTAAAAACTAATGATCTTCAGCTATTTTGAAATAGACAACACGGAGGGGAGGGGGGACAGTAAACTCTAAAACAGGATTAAAACAAACCTGCAAATCAAGTCCTATCTCTGTGATATCAAAGAATGTTTATACTTATAGAATGACCACCCAATACTCGTCACACAAAAGCATCTCTTAACATTCATGTTTTTCCAACATCTTTAGCTGTTTATTTTTGTTTGACTAGAACTTGCCAGGATAAAGATGGTGATGTTTAACTACTTTAAGTAGGATTAAATGAGCCGCGATGGCACAGTGGTTAGACTGCAGTCTACTGATTGCTTATTTATAACCTGACTATAGTTGTTGTACCTTATGATTCTTGATGAACTTATCTTTTATGTACAGTGAGTGCGTATGCACCAAGACAAATTCCTTGTATGTCCAATCACACGTGGCCAATAAAAATTCTATTCTATTCTGCTGACTGCTGCCTACCAGCAGTTTGATTCTTACCGGCTCAAGGTTGATTCAGCTTTCCATTCTTCCAAGATGGGTAAAATGAAGACCCAGATTGTTGGGGGCAAGAGGCTGACTCTGTAAACCCCTTAGACTTAAGAGGGCTGTGAAGTGGTATATAAGCCTAAATGCTATTGCTATTACTTTAGAATTAAGAGCACTTTTAAGTGACCCTGGAAACCAATAAATTATGCTCGATTCTCTAATTTCTCCCATACTGGAATGCAATTAGGATAGCCATCATATAGGGCTCATAAACTGCACAAGCCAAATGTTCAATTTACTGTATTTAACATGATGTGTTGTATCAGCCAATCTTGGTTAAGCCAAATGCACTAAGATTTGAGAACCAGCAGATATAATCAGGATCAAATTAACCTTTTCTACTCACAGGGGCCAACACTAGTGGTCAAAGCTTTGTTTTGAAAGGGAGAATGCATGGTTGTATAGGAGCAGGAAGCTACTTTCCAATTAATACCTACACTTATGAACAACAACTTGTCAAATTTCTTTTTTTGCAGCTATTGGAAGAATGTTTTCCACAATACCTTCACTTATCAAAATATTAAGACATGACTGTACATGGTGTGAAAAGTTTGAAAATCTGCAGGTCTAGATTTTATTCAGGAAACATATCAGATTCTTAAGACATTGTGTCATGGGCATTCCACCCCCATTTCAAGATGCAAGATCCAAAATTACATAAAATAGTATGTATGCTGTGGCGTTTCAAACAGGTCTATCATGTTTCATTCCAATCAGTTCATATACTACTGAAACTTTCAATAAGCATCTAATGTTATTTAACAGGACATTACCATTTTAGAAAAAACAATAGGAAGTGCTTAAAAATGCTTCCAAAATTTGTATATACCTACATCCTCTATATTTAGAAATTATATTTAAAGGTAAAGGTTCCCCTCGCACATATGTGCTAGTTGTTCCGACTCTAGTGGACGGTGCTCATCTCCATTTCTAAGCCGAAGAGCCAGCGCTGTCTGAAGACAATTCCGTGGTCATGTGGCCAGCATGACTAAACACTACAGGCACATGGAACACTGTTACCTTCCCACCAAAGGTGGTCCCTATTTTTCTACTTGCATTTTTACATGCTTTCGAACTGCTAGGTTGGCAGAAGCTGGGACAAGTAACAGGAGCTCACTCCTTTATGTGGCGCTAGGGATTTGAACTGCTGACCTTTCTGATCGACAAGCTCAGCATCCTAGCCACTGCGTCCCCTCAGAAATTATATTTACACCCATGTAAATCTGGACAAATAGAAGTCATTGTTTCAAACTGGTTTTTTTAAAAAAGTTTAAAAAAAACCCCAGTTTATTTTTTTCTTAAAATACAGTTAGTGCAAATCTAATTATAAAGACTTCATCCAAAAAGTAAAGGGGGGAGAAATCCAGTCGTCTTATAGCATTTCGATATATTCCAAATCACAATCATAATCTTAAGGAAGACCGGATAGTTTTATCGCTACCAGGAATAATTACAAAACAGGTTTTTTTAAACCGTAAAAGTTAGTACTAATGCGAGTGTTTTATTCTGCTTTCTCAAACTCAGCAACCTGAAAACTTCAATTGAGCCAGAGTCAAGATTCTTTTTCCAAAAAAAATCCCCCCCCACCAAAGTTAAGAACTGCAAAAGTATTGGGTTTAACACAGGGGTCTCCAACCCTGGCAACTTTTAAGCAAAGCTGGCTGGGGAATTCTGGGCGTTGAAGTCCACCAGGTTTAAAAGTTGCCAAGGTTGGAGACCCCTGGTTTAACAGGCACTTAAGAATTGAGGGTTCTCACAAAAAGGGAATGTTATCATTGATCACGTATACCTTTTCTTTGTAGCATTCCACTTCAGCTGCCAGGGGGAGATTTATGCTGCTTACTTAGGAGGCTCAAAATGTCTGAAGAATGCCCTTTTGTGAAAAGGATGAAAGCATCATGCTACTGTGACACCAGCCCTCTCCCTTTCATTATATGCTGCATCCTTCACAATTCACCTATAAAAAGGATGGAGCGCCTCAATTGCTTTAATTATTTACCCCTTGAGAACAGTCCTGCATAATTTGCAAGTCTGAGATTCAATATTCTCATGGTCTAGTAGAGGGGGGGAAAACAGTGCAAATGGAAAATTTTCATGTCTAGGATGCTCTTTGGCTGTGTACATGAAATCATTCTTCTCTTCCCTGCACGCAAACCATCTTGAAACCACTACTTGCCACTTGAGATCAGCAGGGCTCCTCTAAAGCAGCAATCTGCAGAATCAACTGGCAAAAGGTTTTTTTCCAGGAAATTCCACACCAGCTGGGAATATGGATACCAAGAAAAGCTCTAAAGGATAAAATAACCTACTTCAAGTATGAAAAAACTTCAGATCACCGAGAAGGGCAATTAAAAAACGAGATGTATGTTTGAGAGATTTAAAAGTTTTGTGGCATTTCTGAAAGGCAGGATAACTGGTAAAAATCTGGGATTTCTATTTTATGTAAAAGTTGGATTCTTATCAGCGTACATTTTTTTGGACAAGACACAGGTGAATCTTGCCATGAGATCAACCCCAATCAAATAACAAGTCAACCAGCTTGGATAGTTCATCTGCACTTATTGTTAGAAATTTTTAATTGAGAACTGGCTTGTTAGATGGAACTTCTTCCTACCCCTCCCCACCCCCACCCCACTTATCACAAGCTCCCACCAACTGGGATGTGTGTCAGTCCCAGGAGCAGAAAGGAAATAAGCAAACATCTTAAGGCTGCATCACACAAACTAAACCCAAAATAAAAAAAATACTTATCCAGCCAAAACTGGGCCACCTTTTGGAAAACGGCAACTAATATTTAACGAGGAAATCTATTTTCAAATAGGCTTCTATATTTCCACACATTTTCTTTCCAGGGTGACGACACATGATCAGTAGCTTCACTGAATTTTGAATCAGGGCAGGGCGAGAGGGGCAAGGGGGCAGAGAAGTGAGAAAGTCTCTCCCTCCAGACAATGGAAGGCCAAGAATCAGAAAGAATAAACGTTTTCACAGTAAACCATAAATAAAAGTGCAGCAAGTGTTCAAGTAGGCTAACGAGGCTATGTGGACAGGGTGGGGTTTGGTTTGGTCATCTTTTGGAGGCTCTGCGGGGGTCCCTCCCATTACTAATTGTGCTTTGTAAGGGACGAGCATTGTTAGACAGCACAGGCGCAAGAGGAGCGGGGCCCCGTCCGCCAGACCTCCCAGAACCTGCATAGGTGGGGGCATGATTATAAGCAGTGGACAATCCACTCAGCTCTGGTCCAGTCGGCAAACCATTTCCTAAAAAAAAAAAAAGGAAACAATTTTTTAAAAACTGCCATCAAACTTTCTATTTTCTCAGGCCACATTTCTTTAGCAATGGAGACTGCCAATGCTCAAAAAGAGCCTGTTCTTAACTAGGGAGCATTTAGCATGGAGTTGCCAAGAGCTGGTGAAATCACCAGTGGAGACCACAAAGTCCCAAGAGATGGCTTGCCACACGATGGTAATCAATGCACCAGAAAAACAAGTGGTGTCTTAGTGACGTAGCAGGATCTTGGGAGAGTTCTGTATAATGCAGGTAATTCCTTGCTAATCTATAAACAGGCACCAAAGCTAATTAAAAAAAGTTAACATATCACATCACCATCTAAGTCACTGTTTTCTAACCTCAGCAACTTTTAAGATGCGGGGACTTGAAGGCTGGGAAATTCTGAGAGTTGAAGTTCACACATCTTAAAAGTTGTTAACAAAACAACTTTTTGTTAAAAGTGATTAAAAGATTTTGGTGCAAAATCTTTACTGGGTGTTAATTTACTGGGAACAATTATCTTGCAAAGATTATGTAGCAGATACTTTTTTGTGTCCAACTTTGGGTTCAATAAATTGGGTTATTGTGTCCTCTGATCAGGAACTTGAGGTTCTTCAAAATCAGTTTCCTGTATGTTCTCCCCAGTAAGTTGCCCTGATAAAATGATTGATGTATATGGGGCTATACCAAAGGAATCAGATGCCTGGTCTGTCCATGGTTTATTTATTTGTGAAATGAAATTGTGGAATGGGAGATGTAAACTGACACATACTACCAAAACCTGACTGGACAAGGAGCAGTGAGTACTCCTCCAAAATTTGTCTAGCAAGGTTTTGGATTTATTATTTTAATTTATTTATTTAATTTCTATAGCCGCCCATCTCAGTCAATGACTTTAGGGTCATTAGTGATGAGTCCAGGGCTAGGGAGGTAAAGTTGACTTGCTGTTTAAATTCTGTATCAATATTTGGCTTTAATTATTATGGTTAATCTAGGAGCAAGCCAAAGTTAACTGTAGTTTCTTAGCGTTGCTTTTTAAAATCAACCACAATTTAAACAAAGGCGTCTTCCCAAACAGCCATTCCATGCTTTCTCCTACTTCCCATACACTTACTTACCAGTTGGCCCAAAAGTACAAGTACCCGAATTAGCTGACAGAATGGAATTATTAGCCTGCTCACCCTGTGCCTTGAAAAAGAAATGCAAAGGGGAAAAAAAGCATTAAGAAAACAAATGATTTTTTGCCTTGAAAAGTTATTCCCCACCCCCACCTGCTCATTTAAAAGCCCGTTGTTCCCATAAAGATGCAAAAAACAATCCACTGCAGCAAAAGGTCATATTAGATAAGACCCAAGAAAAACCTAGCTTAAAGCTGCTGATGGCAGATCCCAGAATGGAGCTGCATGTGACAAACCTACCACTTTATTTGGCTGCCCAGGGTGATCTGAACTGGGTTCGCTGAAGTTGGGCACTTCTGAATACACCATGCAGAACCTGTACAGAAAAACAAACTCATGAGAGAATGAAGTTTCTTGCCGCAACTATTTCTGCAACCTCTATCCAGTTTCCAGCAATAAATCCCAGAGGCTACCAGAAAGGGCTACAAGACCATCAATGAGAAATACAGTTCTCAAATGATGCCTTAGCGTATCCAAAGTTCAGGCCTTGAGAAAACTAAAGCCTATACAAACGATGGGACTGGCTTCCAAGGTTGCAATTCTAAGCTCCCTTTCCTTCTGCTGTAGATGCCTGTATTTAACATTCTAATCATTTCTGCAGGAGGATACACACCAGGGCTACAACCCTTTGTACGTTTCCCAGAGAGGAAGATCCACTGAATCATGAATGCCTCACTTGTATGAAAACATGCTTAGATCTGAGCCATACAGAGAAGACACAGTAAAGCTAGTGTGCAACAAGTTCCAAAGAGAAGTGTTTTAAGTTCAGTTAACATTCCAAATACCCACCCTATGCCATTTCCATTGCCACGCTTATTTTCTAACAAAATTATTCATCTTCACTTTTTTTCCCTTTATGACAACATCCGTGGTGGCACAGTGGTTAGAATGCAGTACTGCAAGCTGCTGACTGCCGGCTGCCAGCAGTTCAATTCTGAATGGCTGAAGGCTGACTCAGCATTCCATCCTTACAAGATCAGTAAAATGAGGACCCAGACTGTTGGGAGCAATATGTTGACTCTGTAAACTGCTTAGAGTGTGCTGTAAAGCACTGTGAAGCAGTATATAAGTCACTTGCCTCCCCAAACTAAAATCAGATAGCCATCTTTTAGAAATGTATACTAATCTTCTCTAAATCCAGACACGCTTTGGATTTTTTTGCTTTAATTAAAAAAAAAATGGAAGCAGATATAATGGAAGGTAATGTACTGTGAATAATCAGAGGTCACATTGCATAAATTAGACTATGAGTATAATCACACAGAGGCCACTTAACATTCCAACTGTTAGAACTATGCCCTAAATATTCCTATCCAGTCTAGCCTGGTTCACAATGCATGATTATGACAGAATGACTGGAAGATGAATTATGGATCAATTATTTAAAAGTTTGAATAGGGTCACTACCACATTAATCCTCGTTTATTGAATATACACATCTAGCCCAATTCACAGAAAACAGAGAGCTGAATGGCAAGAATTCTTCCATTGCATCTGACACAATGCAAGGAGAAACAAACATTTTCAGTACATCTTCAATACAGAGTTAAACCTTTGATGATCATCTAATGCTCCCATCATAATTCATGTCAAGATGAACCAGCCCCTAAAGTAAAAAAGAAAAAATCTGAACAGGTCCAGTCCTTTGCTTTTTAAGTTTTATTACAGGTCTCAATGAACAGTCTACGCAAAGTTGATAAATGCTAGATAAGCCAACAGTCTGATTCAGGACACAGTAGATCTCGGAGACCTTAATTAGAACCTAAAAGATTCTGCTACATAGAGGGGGAAATTTACCTTTACACCCCTAGAGAGGCTGGCTCCTCCAGGACAGACTGGAGCTCAATACCAGAGTAGGATGTGGAAGCTCGCATTGCGGCTGCCTCTACCGTACCTGGCCTGTGAATAAATAGAGGACTTCAGATTTTTGTGCTGCAAGTCCTTGAAAGTGATAATGTCTTAACCTAACAAATGGCTAAACTTACCTGCTTACAACTACACTCAAAAGACAGAAATTATGCTGGATGGAAAAGACTGATCAAGATGCCATTTCTTAGCTATTGAAGTTGAAGTTCCCAAGCTCTATATTTCCCCCATCCCACTTTCAGGCAGAATAAAACCAAATGATGTTGGATCAACACCACAGAGGAGTAGTAAATGGCAGAGAGACTTTTTCCCTTAAGGCCTGGATTTTGCCTTACCTATCAGGCTTCAAACAATGAACAGATTATTTGCAAAATGAGATACTCACTCCCCAATTTTTTGCAGGTCACCTCCCCTTCCGGTATAAAGCGTAAGGCATCCTTTCCACAGAGAGGCATACCTAAGCAAGGAAACACAAGCAGCATTATGGAATGGATGGAAATTAAACAAGGAGAGAAGCAACCTGGAATTAAAGGAGAAACTTCCTAACAATGAGGACAATTAACCAGTGGAACAGTTTGCCATCAGAAGTTGTGGGTTCTTCATCACTAGAGTTTTTTAAGTAGAGACTGGACAGCCACCTGTCTGAAATGGGTATAGGGTCTCTCCTGCTTGAGCAGGGGGTTGGACAAGAAGACCTCCAATGTCCCTTCCAGCTCTATTCTGACTGAACCATTAGACACACTAGAAAAGAATGGGGTGACGGTATTAGGATAAAACATAAGCCATCACTCATCAAATGCCATCACATTTATGGTCAATACAATAAAAAATACACTTAAAGCACTGAAACATTAAACTTGGATTTGCCTTACATGAATTGCTGACTTCTATACCATGGTTGTAATTAAGAACCGATTGGATAACTTTTATTTTATCAACTTAAAGAATTAAATAACTAAAATTTGCATTCCACTTTATGCCTCCGGTTGGCCCCCCGAGACTCATAGTTCAACAAAGTAACTCTTTAGCAAGATTTCACTGAGGCTGAAAGGGGAGAAAGATACAGTCTGCTTATAAAAATTAATATTGCTTCTAAAACTTTTGCAATGACGGCCAAAGTGTTGAGTCTTCAAAGAAGTTATCCATCCCTTTGTGTGAGTCACATATGAATTCGGCTAAAATGCAAAGGAAAGCAACTCTAATATGGTATTTAGCCAAGTTGCTCTATGAAGGGCTTACAATTTAGCCTAAGGGTTAAATCTGGTTGCCCATTGATACATAAGCAAATCTTGCATTATTGTTCCCAAGTAAGCAGCCATGACTGTCTTTTAAGCCAAAGAATATGTTCCAGCCTCATTCGGGATATATCGCATGGCTCTGTCCAAGGTATGCTAAATGTGGAAATGAATGTAGGGTTATTCCATTTCATTGCAGTTGCAGGATTGTAAAGCCAATTATATTGGAAAGGATAGTCTTATGTCTTGAGCAGGACATTATGAATTTGATAGACAAAAAGATCCGAAGACAAATCTCCTCAGTTTAACTCCAAACTACTCATGCAATGAGTCTTACTAGTCAATAATTGTAGTCTAATATGCAATGAGAAAATGCCTCAGGAAAAATGTATTAGACCATTCTAATTGAATGAGCAGCCAGGGGCAAGTCTTAATAACAGAGCTAAGTGCTGAATTGGATTCAAGAGAGAAAAAAAATGATCCAGAACATGGGAGGGTGCCAATACAATGCCAATCAGCAATTCCTTAAAACCACTTCCTTTCCCCCAATTACACAAGAATAACTGGGCAAAACTGACCAAAGGCTTTTGCAGAACAATGCTGCTACTGGCAACCAGAGTTGTTATTTATTCACTGACACATCACTGATTTTCTACTTTTTAAAAGCATTTCATCTACTCAAAACATGTCATCATCACAAATATTATGTAAGAAGAGTCATCCTATTGTGTCCATAAATTCTTCTCAGGAAATTCATAGCTGATGCAATTTGACCAGGATATATGTTGTTGTGTGTTTTTAGTTTCTAACATAAAAAAATAAAGACAAGTTCAAGCAAATAATTATAAAAAGTAACTGGAATGTGATGAAATATAGCTTAAGTCCTTGTTTTTTATATTAACTGGCAAATAATTCAACAAGGCCATCCCTGACACCTGTTAGTTTCCTTTGGACTGAATTTGATGCAAAAAAATTCAGAATACCCATAATAAATTAAAATGCTTTACTGCTAACTATTAATTCTGTCTCTCTCAGTTTTAAAATAAGCCCGCTCTCTCAGTAATACTTGGAGGCTCTCTGACAGAAAAGGCAGAAATAGCCAGCTGCAACAGGAAAGATGTTACAAATCACATTACACCTGATCTCAATCCATTACTCTATCTTATTTCAAAGGAGGGTACTATATCTAAGCATTCAGAGCCATTTACAGTTCATGTAAAGACACCAAAGCACTAAAAAATTTCACCTTACAGGGCCCTGTTTTGCTGAAGACACGGGAGGGAGGAGGCCTTGAATTTTTAACTCCGTAAGAAACCCTACTTTGGGCCAGCTCAGATACTGAAAAATGAGGTGTAAATTTAAAAAACAGCAGTGAGATCCACAATCTACAAGTGGGAGGTGGGGGGGGGTGTCAGAGAAGTACCATCAAGCAGGATATTTTGTCCATAAACTGCTTCCAGGGGTTGGTCTTTACTGGGAAGTCATGCAAATAAAATGAATTATCACGGTCTATTTTAAAAAAGCTCCGGAAGTTGGACAAGGTGTTCAAAGTTTTAGCTATGAAGCTAAGCACCACCGAATACTTTCTTATCTCCCTGCCTCTGCAGAAAACTGCTTCAGTTATGGGGAAGTCAAAAATTATCTTCCACCTAAACTACTCTATCTAAAGAAGATATGACTGCAGAGAGCAGTTCTGATCTGTCCTCCTGCTCATAGTTATGACAGTCTTTTAAAGAAGTGAAATCTCCCTTAGATCAAGCTTGACTCTTGTTGATTTTATGACATGCCATGTTGTTTCCTTGGCAACAATACCGAAGTTGTTTCCATTGCTTTCTTCCCGTAAGATAAATAAATATAAATATGGTTCCTTAGTTTCTGGCTCGAAGATTTCCTAGCAGCCTCCCATGCGAATGCTAATCTGGTCTGACCATAGAGGTTTTTTCCCAGCTTAGATAAAATCAGTTAAGTTCTGCTATCTGGATATCTCCTTATTTCACAAGTCTTGGGCATTTCCCAAATCTGAGTTCTACCACTGCAATGTTCAACTTGGCTCTTGAAGAGGAAGGACAGAAGGGGAGTGAATAGCTTTTGCTTCTCCATTATAGGAAACCCCTTAAGTCAACACACTTCTACAAAACAGGCCCAGGGACAATCACGAAAACTGGGCAGGTCACCAGTTCTCTTAAGCCCCCCCCCCTTTCCAACCCTTCCATCAAAGTGTCACCACCTGCAGCCAACTGGATCAGTGGCTATGTTGGTTGGAAAACTGGGAGTCAGAAGGTTGGGGAAGGCCGCTTTAAAGCCAGTCAAGGCCAGCATGTGGTAAAGAAAGGCTCCACTGCTATACACGAAGCCAAAGACAACCCTTTTGTTTATATCTGGGCCAGTTCCAATCATATACAAAGCACTGTGTATGACAGAGGGGGAGGGTAGACTAGTGGAAAGAGTGAACCCCTTCCTGTGCCAGCCGTTTACCCTCAGGAGCCAATCTCTTGATCTAGTTCATGGGAGTAAGCACTGAGAGGACAGGTGTTTTTCCAAGAGACAAAGTGGCACAGGGGCCCCCTTTCCACTTGCCAATCTTGGCCTCTCCTCCTGTTAAAAGGATCAAGCATTAGGGGACTGGAACAATCTTGAAGAAGTGTTATCAGTCAACAGGCATTGTGGGTTAGATGTGGCAAAGGGATGAGCCAGCCCAACAATTCTTCCTATGTACAGTATATTGATTGAAGCAAACCCAGTTTAGAGAAAGCACAACCAATTTCTGTTCCCACTTTAACGGCAGACTTGCAAGAAAAGAATTCCTGTTCCCATTGCCCTCTTTTTCCAAAAGAAATGGAAGTCACAGATGCTTCAGTGCGAGTTTTACCTAGTCCATGTTTGGGAACACTGCCTTCCAAGTAGCAGACAAGCTGCTTCAAGAGCAAACATGCTAGGCTGAGCTCAGCCTGACATCATCCTTATTTTGCATTACGTACCCTTTGGTCAACCGAATAATATCACCTGGCTGGATGAGGCTGCCAAGCTCATCCCACACAGAGATGGTGATGCTTCCTGTCTTGTCAGCTACTTTGCACGCCCTGACCTCATGTCCGTCTTTGGTTTTGGTAACACGCCCTGCCAAGAAACAGCAAAAAGAGAGAGAGAGAGAAAGCAAGCAAATGAGACATATGCAGAAAGAATGACCCAATAAATACAAGCTGTCACCATAATTTATTCTCCTGTAAATGTGATTAGGAAGTTATTACGGCGTTTAAAAGCTTTGGAAACGATGGCAGAAAAATACTAAAATAAAAAATTAGAAGATAACTAAAAATCTGGAATGAGTCTATTTAAAAATAGGACTTTTTTTTTAAAGGGTGGAGCACACCACCCGTGGGACTGCACTGCCAACTCTTTCCCTGAAAAGTGACCACGTGTCCCAAACTCAAACACACACACACACACAAAGTAGCTTCTGAGCTAGAAAGAGGGAGAAGGAAAGATAGGAAGGGGAGGCGGGGAGGAGAGATTGAGGGAGGAAAACAATGAATGCGATGGTTCCAAGGGACCTCACTTACCTATCTCCAGTACAATAAAGACGACATTTACATTTTTCAGTCCGGGCTTTATATCTTTTATGAAGAGGTATGTTTCGTTTGCCATGCTCATGCTACTTGCTCAGGAGGAAGACACGGGCGTTGCGGGGATAGAATGAGCAGGACAAACCATTCCTTCCCAGCGGAGCACTGGGTACCAGAGGGCAGCCGGGGATCAGGATGTGAGTTTGACCAGCTTTTCAAAACAATTTTTTTTTTTTAGCAATTATATGTACAGCTGGAGGTGGCAAGGGGAGAAGGCGCTTTTTTTTTTTAGGAGACAAGAAGGCACACACACAGAAACCCTTTCCTGTAGCTCAAACTGGTTGAACTCTCAATCGAGGGGTGGAGTGGGGGGGACCCCTGATCGCAGATAAATCTAAAGCCGGGTTGGGGTTAGGAGCCTGAGCTCTCTGATTATACAGGCAACAGAGTTTGGCCGGCTTCAGCTGCGATTTCCGCCCCTGCCGGTGGAAGGGAAAACCCAGTCCAGCATTCTTCTCTCCTGCCTGCTTCTTACAGCGCGCTTAGCTCCACCGAAAAACGAGGGAGAAAAGAAAGCGGGGCGCTTTCTCTTGTTCCTTGTTATTTTATAACCACTGAGGTGCTTTGCTGCGCCTTGTTCTCCCCACCACCTAGTGAGCACACCAACCCCAGGAAAGTAAGCGCAGTAACTTCACTCCCCCCGCACCAACTCCTTTCGCAAACGCTCCCCCTCTATGGAAGGCAAGCATGTGCCGCATCGCGCTTTTATAGCCGAGCGGGCTGATCCATTTGCTCCTCGTGAGGGGAAGATAGAAAAAAGCGTGAAGGACGGCACAAGGAAAACAAAGAAGGGAAACACCGACTGCCGGACAAACGGGCAGCTGCGGGGGTCTGATCAACCTCGCGTCGTATGTTATCCGCGTTGTTAACCAACCGGCGCTGGAGATATAAAAAAGCAGGACGGGGCCCACCCAAGCGAAATGGTACCGTCCGATGGACGCGGAATGGAACTGAATGTGACAAAGTGCCTCGTGAAAGGAGCCGATTGGTCGGAGGAGATTCTTTTGTCCTCTGACCTAGAATATTTACTCCGGCTTGTTGCCGTCCACACCTTCTTTTCCTTCGGCTCCTTTCAAGGGGCGAGTCGAAGCTTGCTTCACCCGAGGACAATGCTCTGCTCTCTTCGGGAGCTTCCCGGAATGGCGGTCTCTGGCTTTTCACATGCCGCTGATTCCTTCATTGACTTAGCCCTTTTCGAAAGGAGGCTGCCGGCCAACCTGTACACGCCGGGATTAGCCCCCCTGTTTGTCGTGTACAGTAAAACGTGTTTTCCCCAAAAGCTTAAATAACGTTTGAAACGGAGCAGAGTAAGCAGCAAAATCCATTTGTCCCGGATCTAGGAAACCTTGAACGCTGGAGATAATAACCGAGAATCTTAAAAGGGACTGTAATTGGCCGTGGCGTTTTAACGCTTGAAAACCCCACTTTTTTTTCAGGCGGAGAAAGAATATTTGGAAGCCAAACCCACGCGTTATTTTCCAGATCAATGATCCCCGACCTGATTGATGGGCTTGTTTCTCGGTAGCTGTGGGTAAATGTTGTACAATTTAGATCAGCGGATCCCTACTTGAAAAAAAAGGCGTATGTGGTGTACAGTCGAGCGTACCATTATTCAGTTTATTAAGTGCCTCATAAAATAACATTTATCCAGGTTTAACAGCTGGAGAAATTACAGTTGCGGGTATCAGAGTTATTGAATGTGTACCTTATAAAAGACTTAAGGATAGTTAAAGTGAAGTATATTCAGATAGAATTTATCTGAAACCAAACACTGCTGTATACTTGTATTTCCTGTGATCCCCCCCCCCAATCGCTTTTCTATCTGCATTCAATTTTGAGCATGTATTAAATCTTGGCTATCGGCAGAAATGTCTGGAAAGAACCTTAACATAGTTCACTGAGAAGTCATTGTTGTATATAGTAGATACCACTTCCCTGATAAGCCCGATTAGACTCAATGCAATTTTTTTCTACAGAACTGAATAGAGAATTCCAGTTAATGCTGACAGAACAAACAACTATCTTGCTATTATACTCTATAGTTCATACAATTTGAGCTAAGTTTCCCTTTTCTTTAGAACAAAATGTTTTAGATTTAGATTTCAACAAACAACAGAATGAAGCTTGAATTGATAGAAAATACAGTCGCCTCTTTATTTTGCATGATTTTATTTTGCCTCAGCAGGATGAATTGCATCCAAGAATACTGTAAAAAAAACTACCTAATCTAGGATTGCCACACCCAAAAAGGACAGCTTGGAGGTGATAAAGAAGCAGGTACTCCTTCAGCAGGTATTTGCTATAGGATCAAGGCCAAAAGGCAGAAAATTCCTTTGTTCAGTCCTCTCAAAATAACGCAACACACAGCCATTAATGTCCAAACTGGTGGCAACAAAAGTGAGTACACCCATAAGTGATAATGTGCAATGGGGGCCAAGTAGCTGTTTTCCCTCCCTGGTGTCATGTGACTCGTTAGTGGTACAAGGTCTCCGGTGTGAGTGGGGAGCAGGTGTGTTAAATTTGGTGTTATCGCGCGCTCTCATACTGGTCAGTGGAAGTTCAGCATGGCACCTCATGGCAATGAACTCTCTGAGGATCTGAAAAAACGAATTGTTGTTCTACATAAAGATGGCGTAGCCCCTAGGCTATAAGAAGATTGTCAAGACCCTGAAACTGAGCTGCAGCACAGTGGCCAAGACCATACAGCGGTTTAACAGCAGGTTCCACTCAGAACAGACCTCGCCATGGTCCACCAAAGAAGTTGAGTGCCCATGCTCAGCATCATATCCAGAGGTTGGCTCTGACGTATGAGTGCTGCCAGCATTGCTGCAGAGGTTGAAGGGGTGGGGGCTCAGCCTGTCAGTGCTCAGACCGTACGCCACACGCTGCATCAAATTAGTTTGCAGGGCTGTCGTCGCAGAAGGAAGCCTCTTCTAAAAATGATGCACAGGAAAGCCCGCAAATGGTTTACTGCAGACAAGTAGACTAAGGACATGGATTTCTGTGGTCCTGTGGTCCAATGAGACCAAAATAAACTTACTTGGTTCAGATGGTGTCAAATGTGTGGCAGCAACCAGGTAAGGAGTACAAAGACAAGTATGTCTTGCCTACAGTCAAGCATGGTGGTGGGAATGTCATGGTCTGGGGTTGCATGAGTGCTGCCAGCATTGGGGAGCTACAGTTCATTGAGGAAACCATGAATGCCAGCATGTACTCTGACATACTGAAGCAGAGCATGATCCCCTCCCTTTGGAGACTGGGCCGCAGAGCAGTATTCCAACATGATAATGACCCCAAACATGCCTCCAAAACTACCATTGCCTTACTAAAGAAGCTGAGGGTAAAGGTAATGGACTGGCCAAGCATGCCTCCAGACCTAAACCCTATTGAACATCTGTGGGGCATCCTGAAACAGAAGGTGGAGATGTGCAAGGTCTCTAACATCCACCAGCTCCGCGATGTCATTATGGAGGAGTGGAAGAGGACTCCACTGGCAACCTGTGAAGCTCTGGTGAACTCTATGCCCAAGAGGGTTAAGACATTGCTGGAAAATAATGGTGGCCATACAAAATATTGACACTTTGGAACCCATTTGGACATTATCACTTAGGGGTGTACTCACTTTTGTTGCCACCAGTTTAGACATTAATGGCTGTGTGTTGCGTTATTTTGAGGGGACAGCACATTTACCAGGGTGGATTTGATTTAAATCACGATTTAAATCATGATTTAAATCACTAGTAAAAAGGCTTGATTTAAATCAACTCAATTTAAATCATAATTTTTAAAGAGCAACTGTCATCTCTGCTACTCCTTTGACCCACTGTTGACTCACCGATAGTCCCAGTGTTGCAGAATATACAGCCTCATGCTACTTAACTAAGCTCCATTTCATGCTGAATAAACTAAATTATTTATGTATCTTAAATAGAAAACTAGCTTACGATAGATTTTTACCGCAAAGTTTTTTATTAAAATAAATTCGATAAAAATCAAAAAAATCCGATTTAAATCAAAAAAATCTGATTTTTTAAAAAAAATCATTGATTTTTATCCACCCTGACATTTACACTGTTATACAAGCTGTATACTCACTACCTTACATTGTAGCCAAGTGTCATTTCTTTAGCGTTGTCAGATGAAAAGATATACTTAAATATTTACAAAATATGAAGGGGTGTACTCACTTCTGTGATATACTGTAGTTGTATATGTATATACATAAATTGAAACCATTATGGATAAGGGTCAGGGTCAGATTGGATGTAACGTAGGGATGACAACTTGCAATGAACATGTCCCATTGTTTTCTTGGTATCCACTTGTATATTTGTATTAGTTTTATATTTTGATATGGTCAAAAGACTAAATAAAGTTTCTATTCTATCTGAATGAGCTGAAGACTTTACTTTTATCTTAAGTAGTTTGACCTTAAAACTCCTTGAAGAGCTATTCTAAACTTGTTTAATTAAGGCTATTATTTTAACTGACATTTTTTAACTGACCTGTTTTTTTATCATATATATTAGAATACTGGTCGGATTACAGGTCATTTTTCTTTCTTTCAAGTTGATCCATTTATATAACTGAGACATTTAAAACTCTTTAGATCAAATTTGTCAAACTCTTCCACAGTGATCTGCAAGGATTTGATGGGATTCCATCATAAAGGATTTTTTTCTCCACCCAGACATCACTGATCTATCACTAAAGCTTTGCCTCTTGATCAGGGGTTCTGGGACATTTTTTTTAAATAGAACAGAACGATTGGGTTCCACATCATCAAGTTTGAAATTCTTGATTACTTGGCACATTTTGATCTTTTAAACCTTTGGGGATTTTTTTTTAAAAAAAGAAAGCTTACTGTAGAATTAATTTCTAAAAGAAAGTACTAAATTCCTGAGAGATGAGAAGAGAGTGACAAAACTTCAAAGATTACAAAAATCCAGCACAGATAATCAAATTGTGTGTGGGCTGTAACATTTTAGTAGAGAAAATGCTATTCTTAAAAACATAAGACATGATTTGTCCACATAGAAAACAAATATAATGACAGAAAAGAATTAGAGTGGTAATAAGAACCAAATCCTCTTCTGGGATTTCCTGAGTATATCTAAAATAAACTTCTCTGGACCTAAAGGGACCAACTGACACTTCTGATTATGCTTTGCAGACATAACCCATGACACCCCTTGCACTTCATAATACATGTTTTGAGTAGTGATGACTTCGAAGCCCAAGCCTCAAAGGGCATATGGGGAGTAAAAGTCTAGAGATACCAATCACAATGGGTTAAAGCACTGAGTCCCAGAAAGAAAACTAAAGACTTTCAGCCTATCTAGGTCATCATGTCAAGGGCTTCCAAAGGAGACAAACTTTTGAGTGACTTGGGTTACAAGCTGGGCCAAACCTTGGGAGAAGGAAGCTATTCCAAGGTAAGAGTGGCCACCTCAGCCAAATACAAAGGGCCACTAGCAATCAAAATGGTGGACCGACGTCGAGCACCCCGGGATTTTGTGGAAAAGTTTCTACCACGGGAACTCTCCATTTTGCGCGGGATCCGGCACCCACACATTGTAAGAGTGTATGAATTCATTGAAGTTTGCAACGGGACTCTCTACATCGTGATGGAAGCTGCATCCACAGACTTGCTACAAATGGTACAACAAG